AAAAAAAAAAAAATTCCATGAGGGATTACTCTAGAAGGGAAGGGGCCAAGCTGTGAGATACTCCAGCTTTCCTCAGTGCTTCAACCATGTTTCCAGGTGGGCCCAGACAAATACCTGCATGCCGAGGTACTTTTGGCACTGTGGCCACAAAGCCAGACATCCCTGCATCACATAATATATGAAGGATGTTCTTTTACACATCTACTTTTTACAATGTACCTCTAATCAGATTTCTTAATCACAAAATCTGTAAGTCAAAATAATGTATAATTTCTTTTTGATTCTTAAAAGTTGAACTTTTAATTTTAAAGTGTCAGATCATAGTGCCATCTTTACCTGCTGCTTCTTATTCTTTTTAAAATAAATTATTATTAAAAGGAGAATTGGAAATGTATACCCTTATTTCAGCATGTAAGGTTATCAAGTTACATTGCTGAAATTGTTTAGAACTGAGGCATTTATGCAGTTTTAAAAGCTACAAGAAAAATTAGAAGCTTTTTTAATCCTCTTCCCCTTTTTTAGTGAATTTCTGATGACTTTTAAAAATATGAAGTCACTAAAGCCATCAGATATGTTGCTTTACTTAGAATAAATCCAACAAAACCTGAAATTATTGAGTAAAATTATCAAGGCTGCCTTACTTATTTGAATAATACTTGACTACTGTAAGATCATAATGACAGAGAGGAAATCCTTATAGTTGCATCACATACATATTAAATACATAAATAAGAAATGATAGAGGTGATGTTTTTTTCAGATAAATAGATTTATACCATCAGCCCAGAGGAGCTCAGAGATTTCTGGAGCTCCATGGCGGACGTTGGAGCCAGGAGTCTATTATGATTTAATGGTATCTCTCTGCTACATTTGATGAGTTGTCCCAGAAAAAAAAAAAAAAAAACATTTTGAAGCAATAAAGCATCCATTTGGCTTCTAAGTAATGAGGGAGGCTTTGCTCTTTACATTAACTATTCAAGAAGAGAAGTGACCAGCTGCTAATAAGCTTTATCCAAAGAGGTTAGTGTAAAACAGAAGAAAATGTGAAAGTGAGGTTTGCTTCAGTTTCATGCAATTAACAAATACCCAGAGCTGTAGGATTGGTGCTCTTCTACCATGTGACTTCTGGCCAACTGTATTTAGGTGCCAGTGTCTGTCAGAAATAGGGCCTCTCAGTTTCAGGAGGGATCTTGTAAGCTAAATTCACGACAAATGAAAGGTGGCAGTGACTGGTGAGTAACTAAGAGTGGGCTGATCTTTCTAGTTTTGAATAATGGATTTATTTTCTAAGGTCAAATAGTAGAGGTTGATGCTTGCGAATTTCCCCAGTATGGGTTCCCTTTTTTAAAAGATAATTACTGCTTTATCATGACTTGAGAAAGCACTAATGCAATATGTAGATTATCACTTGATCAAGCAACTTTTAACATGACAAAATTTCTTACTTGCTCGATAAATACACAATTTCTTGTTTGGAAATAGTTTGTAGGCAGAGGTATAGCATTTCTCTCTTTTTGCACAGGTAAATAAATAGTTCCTTCTTTGCAGTGAATGTTTCAGAGTTAGTAACTTTAAGATCACAACCTGAATACTGTATTCACACGCAAATAGGGCTTCTTTCAAGTCTTTTCAGAATCTTACTTTGAAGCACTTTGGGTGCTAGAATAGCATGAAGTATTCATTCTACTCACTTTAATGTTTTTTAATGTGATTAACTTACCATCTTTAGAACATGGGTAAAATGAAAGTCACAAATAATGTTTTTAATGTAATTAATCTGCCTTCTTTATTGACACGGAAAAAGTAAAAGTCACAGTTATTTTTTTTAATGTAATTAATCTGCCTTCTTTATTGACACGGAAAAAGTAAAAGTCACAGTTATTTTCTTCCCTCAAAGCCAATTAGAGAATGTTTATGCTAATTCTTTGTTCTCACTAAAAGATAATACAGTGAAATTCCACACAAAGCTGGAGGGAAGGGGGCAGGAAGTGGGATTCTTCATATAAATAATGTTAAATTAGGCAATGATATAAAATGTAAATTATATGTAAACTGAGGGTTGCTTAATAACAATATTAATACCATTATAAGTGAATTATAAAATCATTTAATACTGTGTTCATTTGATTTTCAATTTAAAAAATATTTTTCTATATTAAATGATGTATTAATTCTAAACTTGCTATGAATTATGTTGAAGTATATTTAAAGCCAATTTTTCAAGATATACTCCATGATCAGAATACATTATTTATCTAGTTCACAGTTTTTGATAAAGGACTAAAAAAGTGTGATCAGTGAGTAGCAATAAAATTAAAGACAAGAAAAGACTAGAACTTTTTGTTCCTTGATAAAATTATATCATATTGAGAAGTCAAAACTTGTTTATGTGTTTGAGAATCTTCTTTTCTTAATCAAGAAAATAAGGACTCAGGTTAGAAATGAAATTACCTTGCAAAAAAAGGTTAGGCTTTGAACTCATCTTTTCTTGTTAGTTAGTAACAACCATTTGAATGAATTATCCCTTTTAGATAATCACTCCATTCAGAAGACTCATGCTATGTGCTGAGAACAGGAAGGAGATGGAGGATTGGATCAGCTCACTGAAGTCTGTACAGACCAGAGAACCTTACGAGGTAATGCAGCATCTTTTCTGTTTCTTGTGGTTAGAGAATAGATGCTTACTGAAGAGATAAGACTACTTTTGCCAAAAAAATTTAAGTATAGGTAGACTCATTCAGCAAAATGTTTAAATACATTCGCCAAAAAGAAATTTTAAATATATGTAGATTCATTCAGCAAATTGTTTAAACCTGATAAAGACTTCATTTTAAACCAATTTAAAATTTTATAAATTTGAAATTTTAAACATAATCTTATACTTTCCAAACAGTTAAATGTCTGTAATCTGCCCTCTTGTTTGGCAAATCTGTGCTATCCTCTCCTTTCTAGGTGGCCCAGTTTAATGTGGAACATTTCTCAGGGATGCATAACTGGTACGCCTGCTCCCACGCTCGACCCACTTTCTGTAACGTGTGCAGGGAGAGTCTTTCTGGAGTCACTTCCCACGGCCTGTCCTGCGAAGGTACTGTGTGCACCCAGCATGGGCTGCCAGCTGGGCTTCTGGAAGTGAGCAGGGCAGCATCACCACAGAAAAACGGCTCTGTGGTAGCTGGAGAGTGTTTCAGCAGGAACACTGCATCTGAGTTTGGTTGTAGCTAAAAGCAAACTTCTGCACATGTAGGACTAAGTTGGCAAATGTTTTTGTCCAGGAAAAGATCATAGAAAATCACTTGAAGAGAAGTATAAGTCAGAATGTAACATTTCATTCTTGAGGCACTAGCAACTACTGTTTTAAAAGAATCCTTTGGACTGTGTAGATCATTATCATTCTGGTGTTCTAGCTGTCTTTTTCTTGATCTGTTTAGTTATGGAGGAAAAAAATACTTTACGTGAGTATGTTCTTTTGACAGAATTTCCAATAGCTATTTACATCGCAGTATTATTATTTATTCATTTATTTATCTATTTACTTATTTATTTATTTATTTATACATACAGAACTGGGGTACAGGCCAGAGGTGCAGGGGCAATGAGAGGATTCACCAGAGACAGAGTGGGGAGCAGAACAGGCAGATCAATGAAGTACAGTGCTGAGGGGAGCAGCGGG